TCAGCCAGTGAGCGGGAACCTGTCTGTATGTGGGATCCGAACCCTCAGCGGGAGCGCCGCCACACCTCCCAAGCGGCGCACTATAGTAGTGCGCCACCAGGCCGACCCTGGACCCTCATCTCCTTATCCACCTTTCTGCTGCTGCTGGACGATCTGTATGTGGGATCCGAACCCTCGGCGGGAGCGCCGCCACACCTCCCAAGCGGCGCACTATAGCAGTGCACCACCAGGCCGACCCTGGACCCTCATCTCCTTATCCACCTTTCTGCTGCTGCTGGACAATTAAGTTGTTTTCTGATTTTGTCTGGGCTGTTAGAATTCTTTAAAAAGCTTTTTTTCCCCAAGTATGACAATCATAGGCATTCCCTGTGCTAAACTGGAACATAGGGACAGTCTGTGTGCAGTCAGACATCCTCACATACCTGGTCTGTCTGTGTGCACGTATCTCTGTTTGCATGTATCTCTGTGGGTCTTATGCTTCTCTAAATACCTTTCTCCTACAATATCATTGTGAGTTTCTCTCCTGCTTTTAGAATTCCTTCAGAATCCCTTCTTTTTAAAAAATTTTTATTGGTTATGAATATTCATGGGGTACAAAGATGACAATCACCACTTGTGCCCAAGATGTGATGACAAGATCCATACAGGCTGCATGTCCATTACCACCAATTGCCATTACACCTCGTGTCCCCCACCCAATTAATCCCCAACCTCCCTACCCCTCCCACTTCCCCCCACTGCACACTGTATCCTGAGGTATATTCTCTGCAAGTCCAAGACACTACTGTGGTCTTTCCTTCCTTCCTTCTTCCTCTCTTAGCTCCCACTTTTGAGTGAGGACATGTGGTATTTATCCCTCTGTGCCTGGCTTATTTCACTCAACACAAGTTTCTCCAAGCTCATCCATGCTGTTGCAAATGGCAGAACAGAATCCCATCTTGGTGAGAGAGTGAGGATGATCTCCTTACAAATCTCCCATTGTTGAACGTTCAGGCTGTGCCAGTTAATTTCAAAAGCTCTGAATGAACACTTCTGCATACAACCCTCTGTGCTCATTCCTCAACTCCCTACGGTCAAGTTCCTGAGGAATAAGAGAACTGGGATGCAAACTTTTGAAAGGTTTTGAGGCGGGCTCGTGTACTGTTTCCCAGAGTGAATGACTACCTGGCAATTCTGTCTCTTTCAGCACAACTTGACTAGCAACGGGTTTTAGTACTTTGCATGGTTTTTAGCAGTTTAACAGGCCTGCTATGGACATTAAATGGACTTAGGGATTCTCTGAATCTGGACACCAGCAAATCTGAGTGCGGTTCACTCATCAGGGAAGGTGATGCCCTCTGACATGCCATTCCTTATCTCCACCCCGGCTATACTTGAAAAGAACAAGAGGGAAAAATTCTTCTGGAAGCCCATAGGCACTTACCTTCTTGGTATCCCATGCTTGCTTGGGAAGGTTCTTGTCTGCCTCCGACGTGGTCTCCTCCATTCCCGGGACTGTTAATAGCAACACTGGGGCAGGGGGATGGCAAAGAAGGAGAATCAGAAAAGAAATTTCTTTGAAGCCTCCTTGGAGGCGCTGGGAGGATGCTTCCCTGACACACGGAGTCACGACCGTGATAAGGCTGTAATTGTCCTAACAATAACTTCTAGGGGTTGTACTAAAGCTACAGAAAGGGGTTTCATTAAAAAAGAAAAAAATTCAAGTAGTAAGAGAATCTGTGACTTAAAAAGAAATGAAAACAAAAGCCTTGGAGCCCAAGGACATGTTGATTCTACCTCCCAAGGAACCAACAAGAGCCTTGGAAGCCTCGGACTACAGAGAATGGAAGATCTCTCCACTGAGTGGCCACCTGGCCCTGCATGCCCCACAGTGCCCGTTCTGCACCCACCGCCCTGCTGACACCTGAGACCCATGTTATAGCTCCCTTCCATGGTTACAGAGGGTCCCGGGGAATGAGGACATCCTCCCACCCACCCCCCAAAAGCCCTGTTTGCAGGGAACCCACCAGGGGAGATGGCAGCCTCAGAACATCCCTCAACAAGCTCCAGACACCATGTCCAACCTCCTCAGCCCTGGATGTTTTGGATGCTCCACTTTTATTACGGAGACATTCCCTTCTGCATCTTGCCTCTGCTGCCTGCTGAGCTGGGGTCCCATGGTGAAGGTGTGGTTGACAAGCCTTCTCTGAGCAGAACCTCCCTGGTATATCTATACGCCCACACAGTGAAATGCTACCACAAAAGCAATAGGCATTTGGGCCTTTATTATATGCTTTTCTCTGGTTTCCCCATCTTGGGCCAGATGAGGCCCATGTGGAGTTTCCTGGGGCTGGCCTCATGGCATCTGCATGCTCTTCTCTGCATGATGCTACCCCAGTTTTTAGGATGGCATATTCCGTCCTTGAAGGCCCCAGGGATGTGCGCCCAGTTGGAGAGGAGGATCTGGGTAAGAATTGGGAAGAGATGGGCTCGGGGGCTGTGGACAAGGAGGGTTCTGAGCAGCAGAGCTGGGAAACAGACCAGTGTGAAGCCCTGAATCAAGCCACACCTGAAGCTGAAGGCCTACTCCTGGACTGCTCTGTCATGAGCTCATAAATGTCCCTTGCATGGACTTGCTGCCTTCCACATTTGAAATCATCATCTGCATGACCCCCAGACTTTGTGGCCATGCCCTGAATCCCTGAATGAAAGCCAATGTATGTCTGCAGGGGTTGTTTTCTCTGCCCAGAAAACTCCTATTTACTCTTCAAAACCCAACTCAAGTAGAACCACCTCTGAAAGCTCCTCTAAGCCTCCCCAGCTCCCACATCAAACCCACAGCACAGTCCAAGTCTTCCTTTGAAGATGTCTCCACCCATGAGCTTAAGACCTCCTGGAGCACCAGGGCCGTCTGCTAGACTTGCCTGAACCCAGCAAACACACCCAAGTCCCTGTCCATACCTCTTTTCTGGTGCACGTCCTGGGACCCACCCGTAAAGGATTCTGGCTGGGTGGGCGTCATTGTGCTCTGGTGCAAGGCGGAGTCAGAATTGGTCCTGGGGGACAGGAGAGAGACAGTGAGCCTCGGCCTTACGGGAAAGAAAAAGCACTCCTGATCCCACCCACGTTTTGCCATCCCCACCCTGTCCAGGACATGCTCCACAAGATGGGGGGGGGGGGCAGTTGTGGGCCATTTTTGCAAGCTGCTGCACCTGAGCAAAGCCCTAAGGACATCGTTCTGAAAAGAACCACCAGTGACCATGGTTTTTGTCTACAAAGTCTGCTGAAAACAAAAAGCAGCGGCAGAGATGTCCCTCTGTCCCTAACCCAGCCCCGCCCATCCCTGCCCCTCTATGAGCTCCTTGGCTCTAGAGAAAGAATGGTGCCTTCCTGCTGAAACCCCTGAGGGAGAGCCCAGTGGTCCCACAGGGGACCAGCCTTGGGGGTATGAGCCCCTAGCCCATCACTGGGTCCCCCCCTGGTAACAAACACCAACAGGGGACTCTGCCCTCAGGGATGCTCAGCTACAAACCAGGTGTGATGGGTGAGAAGGGAAGACCTGGAGATGGTCCTGGAAGGAGTGAAGCCCCTTGGGGTCTCCCTAGTTGAGAAAATGACCGGACAGGGGGCAGAGGGTCTTGATTCAACCAGCTCAAGCGCTGCTGGGAGCCTAGAGAGGCTCCACCCTCTGCCCTGGTGACCCCAGTTCTGGGAACTGATGAGAAAGGACAATCTGCCCCTGGCTGTAGGGGTGCTGCCCAGCAAAATGTGGGTTCTTCTGCACAGCCAGCAACTCAAGAAGGAGAGGAAGGGCTACGTGCACCCGATGAAGACACCCCAGCCACTGAGAGGGACTTGGAGATGATTTGGTCTGAGGATAAAAGGTTCCAGTGAATCAGGACAACAGAGCCTTGGACCCTGGGGCCAGGCGTTGAACAGTGACGAGCTGGTTGGGATCCTGGTCCCACCCCCCGCCAGCTGTGCCCTGAGCAAGTATCCTGACCTCACTGTGCTCCACTTCTTTATGTCTAAATGGGGATGAAAACTGCCTACTCCACAGAGCTCCATGCATTTTACATCAGTTGGTGCATGTGATGGTGGGAATAGGACCTGACCTCAGACAAATGCATGGTGGATATTTAACTACGTTATGGCATTATGTATCGTATTCCACGTTGTATTATACATAAGTATTTTGAACAGCTTGCTTACTTCTGGTCTTTGTTTACTGAAATCGTCTATATATACAGTTAACCCTCTGTATCTGCGGGTTCCACAACTGTGGATTCCACTGATTGTGAATCGAAAATACTCAAGGAAAAAAACAATTTAAAAAAATATGTAAAAAAATGCAAAATTTATAACAACCAGTTACATTGTATTAGGATTTATAAGTAATCTAGAGAAGATTTCAAGTACACGGGAAGATATGTGTAGGCCATATGCAAATACTGTTTACTATACTTTTTTATATCAGAGACTTGAGCATCTGTGGTTTTTGATGTCTGAGGGGGTCTTGGAACCAACCCCTCATGGACATCAAGGGACGACTGTATATGTTTTCTTTATTGCAGTAAAACACACATAACATAAAATATACCATTGTAGCCATTTTTTTTTTTTTGTCTTTTGTCTTTTGTCTTTTTCCGTGTCCGGCAACGGATCGCAACCCTCAGTGTTGCCCCTGTACCGGACCGGGGACCGGCAACGGGATCGCAACCCTCGGTGTTGCTCCCGCGCCTCGCTCAGCCAGTGAGCGGGAACCGGTCTGCATGTGGGATCCGAACCCTCGGGCGGGAGCGCCGCTGCACTTCCCAAGCGGCGCACTATCCAGTGCGCCACCGGGCCGGCCCACCATTGTAGCCATTTTTAAGGGTACAGTTCTGTGGCATTAAGTACATTCACGTTGCTGCGCAGCCATCTACATCTATTATTGCAGGTATTTATGTTAACTATATTAGTTATTATTTTGGACCTTTTTAGGTGATGGAATGATGGCTGATTTTTTTTTTTCTCTTTTAGCTACATTTATGAATTTTTCTAACCTTCTATCATAAATTTATAATAATTTTATAATCACATTTCAACTATATTAGTTATTATTTTGGACCTTTTTAGGTGATGGAATGATGGCTGATTTTTTTTTTCTCTTTTAGCTACATTTATGAATTTTTCTAACCTTCTATCATAAATTTATAATAATTTTATAATCACATTTTAAAGACTATTGAGCAACACGAAAAACTGCTCATAATACAGCATTAAATCAAAGAAAACAAGCTACATCACTGAATGTCATATACGGTCCCAAATTTGGTTTAAAAAAAAAAAAAGTCATATATGAGGGGGAAATCTTTAAGATCCCCAAAGCTGTAACCTCAGTGTTGCAGATAGAGCTGATTTCTAGAAACTTCTGGGTGCTTCTCAGTGTTGTCATTTTAAAGTGGCCATGCACTGGTTTTCCACGCATAACCATGAGGCAAGTTTGGTTTTGTTTCTGACAAGAGGGCAGGCAGCTGGCTCTGGTCACCGACCTTCTCCAGCTGGTGTCCGTGGGCGGCGAGAGGTACACGGTGCTGTACGGGCAGCTGTCGGCGTGAGCACCAGTTAAGGGGGTGACACAGTCAGCGCAGACCCTGCCTGTGCAATGTGACACACTCTAGGCCCAGGGCAGGCACTCGGCCCCATGCCAGCCCAAGCGGCTGCTGGAAGTGGGGCTTGCAAGCAGCTGGGCTAACAGGGCGGGGGCGTCTGCTGCCTCACCGGCGTTTCCTGCCGGCCTTTCCCGCCTGGCTGTGAGCAGCCCCTGTTCCAGGGGCTCCCGGGGGTACGGCCCCATCCACCTACCACTCAGCACTCTACTCCTGTGAGCGCACGTGCGGGCTGCACCCCTTCCAAGAGGGGGGGCCTCAGCTGTGAATCCAGGGCCCGCAGGGGCAACAGGGAGTCTAAGTGCAGCTGACCCTGGTCTTGACTCTTCATTCTAGGCTGATGGGGCGGCTCCCGAGGCCTGAAGGCTCAGGCGGGGGCCCAGCTGGTGGAGCTTCCCCAGCCCACGGAAATGAGAACTGGAGAAGAACAGGTTTCTCTGTTCTGGAGAGCTGGGGATCCCAGGAGCAAGTGGAGGCTGCTCAGATTCTGGTGATGGGGGGCCTGGCTGGCCGACCACCAAGAGGGGGTTGCCTGAGCCGGGAAAGGGGGACTCTGGCTGATCTCTGCTTGCCTGAGTCATGGAGGCAAATTTTACTTGTGTCCTATAGGTATGGAACCCCCCTCGTATTTGTCTGGGTCTGGCTCAGACCCCTACAGCCTCACTGCCTCCCTGCGGTATCCGTGAAGAACCTGTCAGCTCCCAGCCCTGACATGTGGGCTCCTTGCTCACAGCCTTCCCAGCCCCCTGCCCAGCCAGGCATCTGGGTTCTCTGTGTCTGGCTTCATCTGCCTCAGGAGTTGTTTCCTGGCCCCCCAGTGCCCAGGCCTAGCCAAAGCCTCCTCAGCATGAAACACCACCTCCTCCAGGAAGTCCCCTGGGGTTTCCCCAAGATTAAGCCTCCCTCTTGATGCTGCCCTGATTCCATACCCAGAGCCAGCAGTGGACAAGTCCACCAGAGCTTGCTAGGCAAATGTGGAGTCCTGCAGTTGCCAACAGGACCCCACTCCCTGCCCACACCCTCCAGAAAAAAAGGATATCTGCCGTCCATGTTTGTCCACTGACAAGGGCCGGCGGTGCGGCGAGCCAAGACGGCCGCGCTCCCGGTATACTCTGTCCACCAGCCCATGGTGCCGGGTGGTCCGGCTGGTGTCTAGGCCAGAGGGCTGGAAGGGTGTCTAGGGGTGGGGAGGAGGAGAGGGAAATAAAGAGAGAGAAACCCAAACAATGGTCACCAGCTATGGCCCAACATCTGCCCCAGCTCTGCCCCCAGATTCTGATTTCAAGGCCCCCACTCCGGAGACACCATCAGCCATCACTCCACAGCCTGGGATGGTCTTCCTCCTATGGTCCCAGTTCCCCAGCCCTTTGAGCACTGGGGAAGGGGATGCAAACCAGGGGCCGGGGGAGCCTGGGATCTGGGACGGCAGGCTTGCAGTGCAGACAGCATGCATGGGCCAGGCAGAGCGGCACAAGCTCAGGGCCTGGCACTGGCCAGGGTGCCAGGGATGCAAACGGCCCGAGCATCCCCCTTCTCAGCCTGGCCAGGTGCAGACAGGCCTCCGCCCTCTCTCTCCAGGCCTGGCCAGCCTCCTATCCCCACCTACGTCATCCCTGGAGGGGCCTGCCAAGAGCCGGCCCAGGGGCTTCCAGCCGAACACTTTTGCAGGGCCCACCTGGCCAAGCGCTAGCTCCCGGGGGGCTTCCAAGTCGAGCCCAGGACTGCTCTTGGTTGAGATGTGGCCCCCCCAACAGCCCCTCCCCCCTCCCCCCGGCAGCACTGGGAGCCAAGAGCAGGCACTTTCTGGAGCCCTGACCCACAGCCTGGCCAGAGAGGGCTTCCTTCCAGCACCTGGAGCTGGTACAAGGCCCCTGGCCAGGCCTTGCTCCCCACTGGCTCTGACCTCCTGGGGCTGCCAGGAGCCTACTCTCTGCTTGCCCTGGCCCTGGGCTGCCCACTCACCATCTGACTGGGGTAAGATTGGCTGCCTTTGCCAGCTCTGGATGTGGCCAGTCCCCCTGCCTGACCATCCGGCCCCTGGGCTCTTCTACCTTTTCTGGGCAGGCGGGCAGAAAGCGATACTGATATTAAAATGAGTCTCCCCTTCCAGAAGACTGTCAACGGCTAGAATCACTATTCCTCCCCGTCTGTCCAGACACCCCGGCCAGTGTTCAGGGCTGACTGTTCTCCCATGCATCTGAGGACTCCCAAGTCTGTCTCTGACCCAGCAAGGACCCTGCTGGCTGGGGTCATTCTGCATATTTGCCCCCAGCAGGCCGTGGGCCTAGAAGACCCCATGACCAAGGAAGGGTGGGAAACTTGCTATATGGGGCCTAGGCATAGGAGGGCAGGGGCTGTCCATCTCCTCCCAGAGATGCCTTGAAGCCCAGAGGGGAAACTGAGGCAGCTGAAGCAGAGCCAGAGGCAGACTGAAGCTGAGCCGGTCACTCCCTGGCTCGCCAGGCCTCACCTGCCAGCCTGGTTTACGACACACACATAGGTGCATGTGTTCAGAGGAACGGACCATGCAGCGTTGAGGCACATGCTCAGATTCTGCTAGGTTGGACCCAGACTGGGATGAGCAGCTGTGGCATCTGCCCCAGATGGACCCCAAGAGTCCTGGGGGCCTCTCGACGCAACCATACGCACTTCCCGTGATGGGGGTGCAGAACGGATCCATTTCCATTTGACGGACGGGACACCTCCCTGGGAGCCACAGGGGCGGCCAGGTGGGGAGCTCGGGGATACCCAGTGCCCACATGGCTCGGGGTCTTGCAGGCTGGCACCGGGGATGCCACGGCCTCAGCCTGGGGGCTCATTTACCAGAGAAACAGGAGCCGCTGCCAGGGCCTCCCCCAGAAATCCGCTGGGCTGCAAATGCAAAGAACCGAGACTTTGAGATGCTCTGGCCTTGCCTGGGCCCCCCCGGCTGTGGGCAACAGATGCCCCAACGGGCCCTGTGCCCCTCCACCCAAGCAGGCCCCACACAGGGCGCAGCTCAGTAGGTGCCCAGAGAGATGGTCTTCTCAAAGGAAGAGGGGCTGAGGGAAACAGAAGGGGAAGAGCAGGGAAAACCCAACCCAGAAAGAGCGTGACAAGGAACAGGCTGTGGATCAGAGTGACAGCCCCACATGCCTGCTCAGTGAGGTGCCCTGAGGAGCCCAGCTGGGAGATCCTGAGGCAGCCTGGGGGTCGCCTCCCCTGTCTCAGTGGTAGTGGGGGTGGAGATAGGGTAACTGGGTAAGGGGGGCACTGATCTCCCTGCAGACAGCCCCGGCGCAGCTCCACCTGGCCCGTCAGCACAAGAAGATATGGCTACTTCCAGGCCATTTCCCAGAGGTGGGGCGGGTGTGTGACCATCAGGTAGACTTCTCTGTGCAGAGCCCACACAGAGTCCTGGGTGTGGCCCTGAATCACAGGCCAGCTCCCCCACCTCACCCCTGCCTCCACCTGCAGACCACAAACAGGGACGAGGACCACGGCCCTTATCTCTTGTTATTTATGATAAGGATGTGCGCAGTGGCTTGCGGGAGCTGCGCTATGTGGGTCTCTGCCAAGAAACGTTTGCAGACAAGTGGGGTCAGGCCACCGGGCCTCCTTCTGAGAATTGCTGGGCTTGCGGATTAGTGAGGCAGGATAGAGCCAAGCCCCAGAGGCCCTGAGCAGTTCCCGCTGCTGCACAGCCAGCCAACAGGTGTAGTGGCTGCCGAATGCTCCCGGCTAGCCCGAGGGCTCGCTGCAGGGTCTGCTGACAGGGGGCGGGCTGGGGGGATCCGGGTGAGCCCTGACCAGGCCATTCTGTTTCCTCCCATCCCCAGGACAATAAAGGAGTAGGCGGGGGCAGGGAAGGCTCCAGCAATTGTCTGGTGACTCCAGCTGTCCACCACATCTGTCAAGCATGCTCTGTGGCCAGGGCAGGGCCTAGAGTGTGACATGCCCCAGGTGGGAGGCCAGGGGAGGCTCCCCCCACCAAGGAGACAGTGGCAGAGGGTGGGGGGGCTCACCTGGAAGGGCAGATCCATGGTGCCGCTCCCGATCTGGTTCACATTGGGCAAGGACCCGCCATAGTACTGGCCACGGCTCGGGCCCAGCTGCAGGTACTGGGACTTCTGGAGCTGGAGCTGCGAGAAAGAAGCCAGCAGCTGTGGTGGGAGCAGGGGCACCTTCCAAGCATGGCCCTCAGAGCGCCAGGCCCAAGGCACCAAAAGGACCTGAACAGTAGGGTCAACAGCATCAGTCAGAAAGATTGCACGACCCCGTGACTCAGATTCTCAGAGAAACCAAAAATGGCAGAATCGGAAACCCTTCCTAGGCAAGGCGGTGTGCCCCGAGAAAGCCCACAACTGTAAACTTGGGGAGCCAGATGCCTTGTTGCCTGACTCGGCAGTGAGTGAATAAGCAAGAGGCCCCACGTCCTGCAGAGGAGGCCCCTCGCCCGCCCGGGGGAGCCATTTCTTATCACAGCCAGAAGCTGCAAATTGACTGCTGGACACAGGAGAAATCATCTTTCCAATGGCCTGAATCAGAGAGGACTGCTCAACAAGCGCACTGCTGGATTTCAAAGGGTGGGACCTGTGACCCTACAGCAGCCCCCATAGGCCATGGGGCTAGGCGGGTCCCCTAGACCCAGCCTGAGTCCTGAGGCGTCCTGCCCAAGGCCGCTAGCTCCTTCTGCACGTTCCACCAGCCTCAGGGGGCCGGGCCCGGCTGATCTCCTTTATCTGGGCTCATCACTACATCACTGGAGAGCGGCTTAGGCCAGGAGCTCCCTGACAAGTCATGCTGCCTCAGAGGGGGCTGGGACCCAGCCTCTTGTCCCTTGAGCGGCTGATTCCAATGTACAGCAACAATGGCAGATGACCCGAACCTGGGTGGACACCAATCCTCACGCCGCCAGGGGAGGTGGCTGTCATGAGTAGGGGTGGTTGCTGGGGTCAACACTGTGACTGCAACAAGGCTAGCTCACGTTCCCACACACACAGATCCTGGCCATGCTCTACAAACTGCCGCCAGGCCGCCCCACTCTCCCACGCTGTCCTGGGCTTCCTGGGGGGCCCTGGACACCAGAGGGGGAAGTGAAACTCAGAAACTGGCTGCCAGCCCAGCTCAGCACCGCGCCCAGGTAAACAGCTGTTTCCTGCAAGCTGCAGCAGAGCCGAGAGTGAGACGGACCTTGCTCGTTCCCGAGAGCCTGCAGGGTGCGTGCTGGAAGGCCCTGGCCCTTGGTGGCTGCCAACTGGACACATCCACCATGAACACCTCACTATTTCCCTCCTCGCGGCCACAGGAGATGAAACCGGCTGGCTCTGGGCTGGGGGAGGGTGAGGCGATGGTGGGCAGGGCCCCCCCTGCCTGGGCATGTGGCTTCTGACCTCTGGCAACCTCACCCTCTTTGTGGCCAAGCTGCATGGAAGGAGCCTATGCTACGTCCACCTCTCACAGACCGTAAAGCCTGGGAGGCCGTGACTTCTTCCAGGTCTTGGTTTCCCCTCCCCAGAGTGAGTTGTACAGACAGGTGAGCGTGCAAACGCCCAGCACATGATACAGGAAGCACGCACACTGCATACGCTTTCCTCACAGGGAACCACCAGCTCCTGGGACACCAGACACTGGGGCAAGAGCTACACCTCTGAGGCAGAGGAAGCCCGGAGTCCAGGATCATCCACAAGACTGGGAACCACCAGGACACTCCCAGCTCCCAGGCTCCACCTCAATCCAAGTCTTTCTCTCCTGCGATGCTCCCACCGGCCCCTGCCATTTGGCTAAGAGACCCTCAGGCTCTGCAGTGAACATCATGTGGGGACTCTGGTCTTCTTTTGGGGGACTCCATGCTTGTCCTTGGTTGCAGGTGGAGCTATGCAGTGGAGGGTTAGCCTGGCCCAAAGAGAGGTCTGGCCTTTGAGCCTGGCTCCTGGGAGGTAACCTCAAAGCCCTTAGAATGTCCTGCCTGATAACAGTGTCACTGAGTACCTTTGGATAGTCTCACATTGTGACTCAGGGTGGGGGCCTCGAGTCATGCAGTGTCCGCTCGACCTCTGGATGGACTGGAGACTGAGGTCAGCCGCATGAGTGGTCAACCATGTGTACAGGAGCAACCCCCCAGAAAACCCTGAACACGAAGGCTTGGGGGAACTCCCTGGTTGGCGGTGCACCATGTGTGTTGTCAGCTTCCAATGCTGGGAGAGTTGCGCACTGTCCGCACAACTTCACTGGGAGGGACAACTGGAAACTTGAGCCTAGCTCCTCCTGGACTCTGCCCATCTATGCCTCTACTGTCGTGTGGGCTTCTCCTCCTCCACCATGTCTCAAATCTTCCTCTACTTTCTCTTACAATCACTCCTACCATTGGATTTAGGGCCCACACTAATCCTAATCCAGCATGTTCTCATCTTAAGACCTTTAATTACATCTACAGAGACTCTGCTTCCAAATAAGGTCACATTCCCAGGTTCCAGGAGTGGACATATCTTCTGGGGACATAACCCACCCTGCTACAGGCCATTAGAGAGGGGCTCTAGTCCACTCCACTTTCCAGATGGGAAAACCAAGGACCTCACACCTGGCACTTGACCCCTGAGTGACCCTGCATGGCTAGGACCACAGGAGTGTTACTAAGGCTGCCCCTCATGGTGGACAAGAGAGCACCAGCTCCTCTGGTGGCAACAGTGACACAGATGTGGACCCGGAAGCTTCTGGTCAGAGCAGCAGTTCAATGAAGACCCTAGCATGCTGACTCCCTCTAGGTGGGGCTCAGTGAGTACCTCACTGTAAAAAGCCTTCTCTGGCCACGTCTGCCCTCCTCAGCCCTAGACCCTCGTTTCCAGGCAGGGACCCATCCAATACTGCCTGTGCCGGTGCCCCTTTTGTACAAAGCCCTTCCTCCCCACCTCAACCGCTGGGTAAAGGTGGCTTCTCAGGCCTCCCTGCACCCCACCCCCTTTTTTTTTTTTTTTTTTTTTTTTT